GCATGGACTGGAGCCACACTTCAACACAGTGAGACTTCAGCTTTATTTTGTTACTTAAGGATTGGTATCTGGCCACGTCATGTTATATCCAGGATATTAGGTATCAATACCAGTGGTGAGGCATATTGATAGGTCTTCATGGGAATCTGACATTTCCAAAATTGAACAAAAGTATAAGAACATGACAGATGTTGTGAGGGAGTAAAAGTATTTGTTTAAGAGCAYCATGTGTTCCTGTCTCCCTCTTCCACCCCCCTCATCCTCAGGAGCCACAAGAATAAGGACATATGTGATAGATTGATGCAGTAATGATCCCAATTTGTTCTGCTTCTCTTGTATCCAAATTCTTGGGTAATCCAGTCCCTCAGTGACTTTAGGTTTGGCCAAATTAATTGCTTTAGCCAATGAGACGTAAGCAAAGCCTTGAAAAGTAATCACAAGTTAGGATTTGCCCTCTTGGTGCATTTGGAAATCCCATAACCACTACCATATGAAAGAGCCCAGAGTAGCTGGCTGGATCCTCACAGTTTGGTTTCCTTTATTGCTCCTGCTGACGACCAGCCAACCACCAGACATGAAAGTAAGGCCACTAGCTGACCACAAATTCTTGAGTCTGCCCAGCCATCACTATGTGATGTTGAGAAAAACTACTCTAGCTCAGCACAAATTGCTTATCCATAGGATCATGAGCAAATAAATTTTTCTTTAAGCCATCAAGTTTGGGGGTTGTTTGTTATGCAGCATAAGGTTATTATAACTGTTTAAGTGAAACTGATATAAGTTAACTCATAACTGTTAATGTAATTTCATGTGTTGGTATATGTATGGCTTTGGGAATTATTCATTAGTATATCTGTCTGCAAGACTTCCCCACTTCAGACTCAAGGTGTTCAAAACTGACCTCATCTTGACCTCACCACCCATTGCTAACAAATCTTCTCTTCCTGTATTCTCTGTCAGCTGAAATAAGTCTGGGAGCAAATTCCTGATTTGTCTCTCATCCTCCACATCCAAAMTGACCATGATGTCAGTTTTTGCCACCATTCTCTGTAATCCCTCTCCACTACTCTACTTTAGTGTATAAGACCCACGCTGATCTCTTGCCTCATTTTATATATTATTTCCCAATTGCTATGGTTTGAATGTACCTTCTTCACAACTTAGGTGCTATCAATGTGATCGGATTAGGAAGTGGGACCTTTAAGAGGTCATTAAACCATAAGGACTCCTCCCTCAAGAACCGGATAAGGTGTCATTATAAAAGGGCTTGATGGAGGAAGTTCAGACACTTTTTGCCTTTTCACCTTTTGCCATGTGAGAATGCACCGTTGCACTCTGGATGCAGCATTCAAGACCCTATCTTCAAAGTGGAGAGCAGCCGAGCAGTCCTCGCCAGATGCTGGCACCAGATGCTGAGCTTTCTACCCAGGAAAATTTATTACTCAGAACTGTGAGAAAGCCAAATTTATTTTCTTAATAAATAAACCAGTTTGTGGTATTTTGTTATGTGCTATAGCAGCACACATATACACGTTTTTGGAGACAGGGATTTTGCTATGTTGCCCAGGTTGGTCTTCAACTTATGGGCTAAAGTGATTCTCCTGCCTTAGTGTCCTGAATATCTGGGACTACTGGTGTGAACCACCAGGCCTGGCAGACAGGAATATTTTGTGCTGATCCAATCTGTCCTTTACCTTGTAGGGAGAATGATCTCAATTGCAGAACTAAATATGTCACTCGCCTAGTTAAACTCTTCAGTGTTTCCCTATTGCTTTCATGAAAAAAAAAATTCTTAGTATGACTTGCAATGATTTTCAGAGATCTGGTCCCTGTATACTTTCTGGAAATCAGCTCCTGCCACTTCTCAAAAGGTACCTTATGTTCTAGCCACTGTTAACAACTTAAGGTCTCTAAAAGATTCATATTTTTTCACCCCCCTCTTTTCCTTTGGAAATTTGGTTCCCACTAATCATAAGACTCCATTTGCTCTTACAATCTGTTTAGCTAATTTTAAGTTCTCCCCTCCCCTTTTTTGTGGTTAAAATACATGAACATAAAATTTGAAAAGTACAATTCAGTGGTATTAATTACACTATTGTGCAACCATCACCACTATCCATCTTCAGAAAATATTTATCATTCCTATTTAACAACAATTCCCCATTACCTATCCTTGCCCCAGCTCCTAGTAATTATTCATACACATTATACATACATATATATATATATATATATATATATGTATATATGTTGTGGATGGACACAATACCTTTATTTTATTTGTTTATTTTTATGTAGTGCTGAGGATCGAACCCAGGGCCTCACACGTGTGAGGCAAGCACTCTACCACTGAGCCACAACCCCAGTTTCCATATACATTTTTTAAAGGTCACCAGCCCTTTGTCTCTAGAACTGGGTAGAGGGTTTCTCTCCTGTGCTGACATGGTAGTTGAGTGTAGTGCTTGGCTGTCTGCATTGTCAATGTTAGTTTAAAGCTCTACTTTATTCTTTGCACTGTGAACTCTTTAAGGAGAAGAACTATTGTCTCAATAACTTTTCTACATCTTTGAGTAACAATGCTTCATTCATAAATACAGGTCACCGAATCTGTTTATTGCTTTTGAATCACCTTGGAGAGCATTTAAAGACATTTCCAGACCTCATTCCCAGAGATCCTGATTCAGTAAATCTGGAGGGGAGTTTGGGAATCTTAAGTTTAGGAATGTTTTCCAGATAATTTTGATATGTGCAAGCCAGAAGCCAGGATTTTGAAATTAAATTGATCTTAAAAAAATGATGTCCAAGTAGGATGGTCTTTTTATTCTTGATCAACCATTGAAAAGAGGCCAGTTTCTTTTAACTTACTTTTTAGTCTCTAGCCTTAGGAAGTTATAATAAAGAATTTAAAATCTYTTAGCAATGATTTTTTCTCAACTGTTCTCTTTGCACTAAGGGTTATTTATGTTTTCATATTGACTGCTATAAATGTATGTTTTCATATTGACTTTTCCAAAGAGCTTTCACATCTGCCCTCAACAATCCTTTGAAGTAGGATGTTAGATCCAATTTGCTTTATCATATTTGCCATTTGCTTTGACTTTATCACACCATGGCTCTGACAATCCCATTTGTCACAGGGCCAGTTCTAGACTATTTATTCATATAGTCATTCAACAAGTATGTTTTGAATACCTACTATGTGCTGGTTAGGTACCAGACAACACAGCAGCGAATGGGACAAAATTTCTGCCTACATGGAGCTTATATTCTAGTTGGGGAAATCCCTTCTCCTCCGTTGTGTCTCCTGTATCAATATTTTCCCCATCCTGTCCTAGTGAATCTTCTAATTAGGAATTCCAATTCTACCGGCTCCATTAGATAAGAGTCATGTTTGCCTCTTGGCCAAGCCATATTGTTTTAAAAAGCAGGTTCCTATGCTGTGCTGCSGGTCTGTTGTCTAGCTGGTAAGTCTATAGGACTATACACTGGCTCTATGTTTACATCCATTCTCTTTGACATTATGGTCTGGGTAACTGAGAAGTTCTGAGTCTTGTCACCGGAAGGATGAAACTCCTGTCTCCTGTTAGYTTTAGGTTCTCACATGCTTAATAAGCCCTTTTCAGTTACTTTGACATCAAAATAAGCCGTGTTTTACCTGACTGGAGATTAGAATCTACACCTACAAATTCTCTTTARTAGGTTAACTAGAAAACAAAGAAACAGGGACCTGTTTCATGAAAGTATATCAAGAATGTCACAGCTAAAAGGGACCTTGGAGATGAAGCCTCACTGCCTTTCATAGATCAGAAAACTGAGATCCAGAGATGTTCCCTGAATCGCCTCAGGTCACAGAGCCCAAACGACGAATGTGGACCTGTGGTCAGATCTAACCTACAATGTCACCGAGAGTCTACGTGGGGTCCAGGCGGCGCATCGCTTCTACCCCACGTCGCTCTTTCTGGAGGAGGTAAGTCGTTAAAACATCGGGTTGGGGCACTGCAGAAACAGGTGTCCAGACCACGGACACCGAGTCGGGGAATCTGGGGTTCCACATGCCCGCCGAGAACTCTACAGCTCCCGCTTACAAAGTTTTCTCGCCTCGTACGTTCCTCTTTCATATCCCTGGCTGCGAGGCCAAGATGCCTGCTGTGGCTTCCGAAGAAGTTGGGAGATGCCACTTCCTCCCCGAAGCTCTGTCGGGCGCGCTGGCCGCTGCGCCGGGCGTCTTTGGGCCCGGAGGCCGGCGAGGGAGCGCGGGGCGCGGGGCGGGGCGGCCCCTCGGCGCGCGCTGCCCGCCCGGGCTGCCAGGGCCGCGGGCCCGCGAGCCCCGGCGCGGAGTGAGAGGCGCGCGCGGGCCGTGGGGGCTGGGCCGAGGCGGAGCGCGAGGCGGCGGCGGCGGCGGCGGCGGCGGCGGGAGGCGCCGCGGGACGAGGCAGCGGCCCCCGCCCCCCCGAAGCCCGTCCCCGCGCGGGGCTGGGAGCGCAGGGCGGGGAAGCCGCGGGGCCGCGCCACGTCCCTCGCCCGCCCCGGAGCGGGTTTTGCAGGCGGCTCCAGGCTGGGGGCTTTTGTGTCTGCGACTCGGGAGCGGCGAGAGCGCAGACCTCCTCCTCAGAGGGCGCTGTGAGTGCGCCGCCAGGGCCGCGCCGCCCGCCTCCTGCCTCCCCTGTCAGCGACTCCCGAGGCGGCGGCGGCGAAGAAGAAGGAGTGGGAGGTGGCATCGGCGGTGGCGGCGGCTTCGTCCTCGCACATGCCGGCCCTGGGCTGGGGGCCGCCCCCAGGCCGCGCTCTCGACCGCTGCCACTGAACCGGGGGAGTCCCCGCACGCTGCCCCGCCGCCCCGAGGCCTCGTCCTCCTCCCAAACTTTGCAAAGTCGGCCCGCGTCCCCGCCGCCCTCGGCTGCGTCTGGGCGCCGAGGCTCGCCTCACAGCCGCAGCGGCCCCGCGAGGAGGAGGAGCCGCCTTCGCCGCATCAAAGAGACCGAATTCCCGCGGCCTGGGGGGGAGTCATGCTTGGCGGTCTGTAATGTCAGCAGAACAGGAGAAGGATCCTATTTCGCTGAAGAGAGTTCGAGGTAACCGAGAAGGGCGCCGGACTGGGGGGGCCGGGGTGAGTGCGGTGCGCGGGGCCGCGTGCCCGGCAGCAGGGAGGCCACGGGGCTCGGTCCGGGCCTAACTCCGCGCAGCCCGCGTCCCGCCCGCGCCCCAGGGCCGAGCTGCGGTCCGAGACGCGCGGCCCCGGCGCCCGCTCGCCCGTAGACACTCGCGSCGAGCCCTCGCCTAGCGACTTTGTGTTGGGAGGCAGTTGGAGCTGCACTCAGCATCCCTTCCTACCCTCTCCTCTCCCGCCTCACCTCATCCTTAACACTCAGCACAATAGGCACCTCAGAGGGTGAGAAAGAGGCACCCCTGGCAGAGACCTCGAAGGATGCCCACCCCCCCATAAAAGTAAGTTGGATTGCAGGAGAGTTGACTCTAGAAGGTCTTCAGGCTTTCGCGTCCCTCCCAGCCCTTCACCCCTTCCGTCCCCTTCCCGAGGCAACAGATACTCATTTTTGTTTTCCTTAAGATTAAGAGAAGAAACTATATAAATTCACAAGRCGTTTTCTTTATTGCTTTATGAACAATCATCTAATCAGGCATGATAGGGTTTCCTCTTTCTTGCAAACTAGTTAAGAGTTGTACTGCCGTCTTACTAAGAAAAATCAGAACCAGGTATTAGACAAAAGATGCTGCATGCAAGTTCACAAACGCCAAATACCATTTGGAAATTTGTGAATACTTTTCCAGCTCTTATGCCCAGCTCTCAATAGGGTTCAGACTGAAAGTCTCCAAATCTGAGTAATGTTTGTTCGTTAAGCAAATATTTATTGAACATCTACTAGATATTGTTCTTGGTGCTGAATAAAAAAAAAAAAAATAGATGATGTTCACCCAGAAGGTGTTCACACTCTTGTGGGTTAAATACTTGGTAAACAAAAAGGATAGAATGTCAAATGGTAAAAACAAAACCAAAACCAACAAACATACCCCCCCCMAAAAAAAAACAGAGAAAAAGGATAGAAAGTATGGGTGAGGAAGAAGGGTTTATATGGGAAGGTGATATTTGTTTGACCTAAGACCTAAAGGAAACTGTATAGTAGTTCCTTGTGATAACTGTGAGAAAAGCACTCTCAGCAAAAAGAACAGCAAATGCAAAGACTCTGGGTCTGAAATATACCTAGGCAGTATTCAAGCAACAGCAAAGAAGCTGTTGTAACTGTAGTGAAGTTAGCAAGTGAAGAGTTGTATGAGATGGGTAAAGGGATGGGATTATTGTGTATTGGAAGGCTTTGTGAACCATTTGAAACAGGCTTTTACTCTGATAGGGACGGGACAGTTTTGTGCAGAAGAGCAATCTGACATTTTTAATAGGGCTTCTCTAGTGATTTTACAGAAAATAGATTGTAGAGAACAAGTGCTAAAGCGGGGAGATTAGTTAGGAGGCTATTGAAATAATCCTTTCATCCAAAAAAAGGGTAAATTGCTTTATAAATCAGTAAGTAATAAGGTAAATTTAATTTGACTAAGGTAATACAGAGATCAAGAACTACAGTCATTCATTGATCTTTTTATAGAGTGCAACTGCAGATTAAACATACATAGAACTGGTGTGAGACTCACTGACAATGTGATCTCCAAGACATCCACTCATGGGTCTTTAGGTAGAACTGATTTTCTCAGCCATTAAAAAAAAAAAACAAGGGGCTGGGGATATGGCTCAAGCCGTARCATGCTCACCTGGCATGCTCGGGGCGCTGGGTTCGATCCTCAGCACCACATAAAAATAAAATAAAGATGTTGTGTCCATCGAAAACTAAAAAATAAATATTAAAAAAACATAATTTAGAGTATTGTTTTTAAAGGCTTAATATCACAGCCTTTCATTTGGTGAAATATTTCATCCTTCTGTTTGTAGTTAAGAGTTGCCAAAGCCAGATGCAGTGTTGCATGCCTATAATTCCAGCAGCACAGGAGGCCGAGGCAGTAGGATCACAAGTTCAAAGCCAGCCTCAGCAACTTAGTGAACTCTGTCTCAAAATAAACAGCTGGAATGGATCTTGGTGGTTAAGCACCCTGAGTTCAATCCCCAGTACCAAAATAAATAAATAAATAAGTTGCCAAAGCTCTTAAAAAGTAGGCATTTCTGAGCTACAATATTTCTCCTGAGATTTTTGCTGTATTATTTTGCCTATTATTATAAATTGCTTTGAAGTTTAAGGAAAAGAGCTATGAAGTTTATACCTTTGAATTCAATTATCAGTCTTAAATCAAATTTAATTCTAAATAAAATGGATGAGTATTTTATTGTGGGTCAAGAGCACAGATATATCATCATTTTGTACCAACTGCTGCTTTTAAGTCTCATGCCTTACCTGTTGGGATTTGACTCAGGTGTCAGATCAAGAATATTCTGAGAGTTAAGTACCAGAATAAAAGACAAAACACTTTTTTTTAAAGTCAATTTTTGTTTCATGGAGAGAGTTTTTATAAGTCATTTTCTAATAATCAACAGTTTAAGAGATATTTTGTAGGTTATTTCATAATCCACAAAATGTACCAGAATATTCTGAAACACAGTTCTGTTGAACTTCACTGCCCTGGAACTTTTTGTTATTTGCATCATTAACTGCATATGCAAGTTGTGTTTATAGAGCATAAACTCTTGAGCAGTACTTCTCAAACTTCTTCTCACCCACTGATGTATATAAACAGATCTTTTTTTTTTTAAGAGAGAGAGAGAATTTTTTAATATTTTTTAGTTTTCAGTGGACACAACATCTTTATTTTATTTTTATGTGGTGCTCAGGATAGAACCCAGGGCCTCGAGCATGCCAGCCAAGCGTGCTACCGCTTGAGCCACATCCCCAGCCCAGACAGATCTTTTTAAATGGTTCTTTATTTCATGTATATTACCAAAAACAAACAAACAAACAAAAAAAACTCTTGAAACTCCTTGCTTATGCATTTACATATTTCAATTTAAATTAATTATTTAAAGAGTAATATTTTAGGTGGAACTCAGATTTGACCCAATTATGACAACATTAATGATTGAGGACTTTATCATAATATGCTCCCTAAACTAAAAGCATCATATTCACCTGTTGTACTTAGTAACTGTAAAATCCTAGATCCACAGAATCAAGATATCAAGGAAAGTTTCCTTGCATCTTTAATGAGATTCCCAGGTGATCCTTATATATGCAAAAGTTTGAAAACTGGTTTGTGGACCTAATTGTGAAGGAGAGTGGACCAGAAAAAGTTGATTTGCAGTTTTCCAAACTTTTCCTGATGTTATAACATTAGAGTCTGAATCACAATTTAGTGACACAATGTCTTATATTTCCCCCCCCCAGTGCTTACCACCCTTTAACTCTGAGCTCTTAATTACAAGATAATTCCATAAAGACATACTATATCTTAATTATCTTTTTAGTTGCCTTGGCAGTAGTAAATGTCAGATTAATTAATGGAGGAGTAAGTACACTAATTAATTCAGTAATATCTTTATGTTGCATTCTAATTGTCCACAGCCCCTCAAACTGCAAAAGCTTGCCCTTTTCCCTTAGAATGTCACATGTAATCCTTATTTTTAAATAAACATTCCCATTCTGTAGTATTCTTAGAACTCTTTTAGATATTGATGTGTAGGCATTATTCATTTCTTTATTCAGCATGTATTTATTAAGTAGTCACAGTGCCAGATTGTGGGAATACATTAAGAAGACTATGACACAGCCAGGTGTGGTGGTATATGCCTGTAATCCTAGTGACTCAGGAGGCTGAGGCAGGAGGATCACATGTTCAAGGCCAGCATTAGCAACTTATCAAGACCCTGCTTCAAATAAAAACTAAAAATGGCTGGGGATATAGCTTAGTAGCAAAGCATCCCAGGGTTCAATCCCCAGTACCAAAATTAAAAAGAAGAGTTGACACCTATCCTCAAGAAATGATCAACTTAGTACAGGACACTTGACACTGTGGAATAAATGCCTAACACATGGTAGGCATTAGAAAACATACTGAATTCTTCATTACTGAATGAATTATCCTTTCTGTTACCTTTTCAGTTTCCCCTACTCCTTCTACATTGGATTTTTTCTGTAAATCTACAAGTGTTTTTTTTTAATATTTATTTTTTTAGTTGGACACAATATCATCTTTATTTTATTTATTTATTTTATGTAGTGCTAAGGATTGAACCCAGGGCCTTGCAGGTGCTAGGTGAGCACTCTACTACTGAGCCCCAGCCCTACAAGTGATTTTTTTTTCCTTTTAAAAAATATTTTATTTAATCATACATGAACACAATACCTTTATTTATTTATTTATATGTTGTGCTGAGGATCGAAGCCAGTACCTCACACGTGCTAGGTAAGCACTCTACCTCTGAGCTACAGCCCCAGCCCCCTTACAAATTGTTTTAAGTTTTGTTTTTTGTTTTTCCAATGGAGAAAAGTTAAAAGACACAAATAGAAACTTTGAGTGTTAGGTTATTATATGTTCCTTTATTTCCTTAAAATATAATTACTATCTATAAGGCAGTCAAGAAAAACCTCCTAGAGAAAAGTTTTAGATATGGTTTGTGTTCTTTTGTATTAAGTGATGTAGAAGGAAGGGGTTGCTCAGAGGTAGAGTGCTTGCCTAGTATGTTTGAGACACTGGGTTGGATCCTAGCACCATATAAAAATAAATAAATAAAGGTATTATGTCCATCAACAACTAAAAATATTAAAAAAAAAAAAAAAAGATGGGGCTGGGGTTGTGGCTCAGTGGTAGAGCACTTGCCTAGCATGTGTAAGGCACTGAGTTTGATCCTCAGCACCACATAAAGATAAATAAATAAAGGTATTGTGTCCAATTACAACTAAAAAATAAATGTTTTTTAAAAAGGATGAAAAGGAATGAGAAATGGTCCCTGGGGATTTTGAGAAGGCACTTTTGGTAGAAAACCACAGTATAAAGCATTGATGATTAATATGCCCAAAATTAAATGATATAGATGTGGCTAAAAAGATGTGTGGTAGAAAGA